TGACTCTGCGCCACGTACACCCAGAGAGAGGGAGGAGAGGAGAGGCCCGCCCGCCCCCGGCCGCAGCCCCACCAGGGCCCTCCCCCGGCGGCGCGCACTCACGCGCGCACACACTTGCACACATTTTACCTCCGCTCCTGCCCAGCCTCGCCTGCGCCCAGTGAGAGCAGAACCTCCTGGGACCGGATGCCATGGGCAACAACTTCTCCAGTATCCCCTCTCTTCCCCGAGGAAATCCAAGCCGGGCGCCGCGGGGCCACCCCCAAAGCCTCAAAGGTAGGCTTCGCGGTCGAGTGCAGCCGGAGGACTGGGCGCTGATGGAGGCTAGGGAGAGATGGAGAGGTGTGGTTGGGGAGGCCCGGCAGGTGCCACCTGTTGTGTGCCTTTGGAGACCGGAGATGCCCATCTGACCATGGAGGTGGGCTGGGGAGTGGGCGCTGTCTATGGAGATAGTGAAAATCAGGGAGAATGGCGTTAGGTGGGGTCTGCGCAGTTCTCCCTGCCAGCACTGGAAACAGTCACTGAGTCCCCTCAGGGCCATGATGCTAGGCAGCAGGAAGGGGTAGAGAAGGGCATTTGCCAGGTGGATAGGGGAGTGGAGGGAAGCTCAGGTGGTCCATCTGAGCTCAAGGGAGTCACAGCCATCTCTTTTTCATCTGCTTGGGGCTGGAGAGATCAGGCTGGAAGCACTAGTTGCATTTCTAATTACAAGGTCTTAAGAATCCAAGACTAAAGGGGCCAGAGATGATGCCTTGCTCCTGGGGTCCCCTGAAGCTATTGACTATATGTATCCACTGAATCAGTCCCCCATAGACCAGATATCTAGTTGGAACCCTTAGAAAAGAGGGGCTGGGATCCTTGAAACAGAGGTCTTTGCTCTCACTGTCCCTGGATCCACTCTGCACCCTCTGGGGGGCCCTAGGCCCAGAATGGGGCTTTGCAGCTTCCAAGGCTGTCTCCTGACCTTCGGAAGACGCAGGACTGGATCCTCCCAGGCCTTCAACCCCTGCTAATTCCCTTCAGGAAGCTGCTTTTCTGTCATCCTCAGAACCAGTTGCACTTGTCCTGGACATGCTGATGACTAAGAGCCAGGAGGGGAAGCCCTTGGCTTTCACAAAAAATAATCTACTTCCTCAGTCCCCCAGGTTGTGAGAAGAATTACAGAAGTGCCCTTTAACACAAAGTATTGAAGTGTACAAAGAACTTTCACAAATATCTTTTCAGTGAGTGTGGAAGCCACTTGGGGTAGTCAGCAGAGCAGAGCTAACTGTGCCCATTTTACAGTTGAGGAGAACCAAGGCTTCTTTTAGATTCCCAAGCCAGTGAGAGACAGAGATAGGCTATAGTCCCTTATCTTCTGAATTGGAATTCTGTCCCCTCTCTTGCTGGACAGCTAACCTTGAAGACCAAGGGTGAGGAGGAGAGACAAGACCACCATCTTGCATTCTAACTCCAACTCTTAAAAAAACGTTAGCTCAGGAATATCAATGGGTCTCTTGTGTTTTGCTGAAAATTAATATGGTGATACATGTCCAGACCATTTTTAATTGACCTTGTAATTCCATCTAGGGAACGAATTGTAAGAAAATGGAGATGCAGGCAAACACTTATAGCAGCAAGCTAGGATGTTCTCGGCAGTGTTATTTATAGTAGGAAAGCAACCTAATGCCCAGTAATCGCGGGGGAGCACATGCAGGCACTAAAATTATGTTTTGAAGATATTTGATGACTTGGTGAAATGATCACAGCACAAAGACAGGATATGAAAATATGAAGATTGTATGATCCCAATTTTGTTGAAAAGAAATATGAATGGCAAGGAAAACCAACAAAACAAACAAAACCCCATAAAGAATGTTTCCAAACTGTTAACGAGGCTTTCTTCTGGGTAATATAAGTTTTTATTTCCTTTCTGATTTATATTTCGCTCTTTTCTAAGTTGTGTGCAATAAATATTATTTTTATAATTAGAAATAAGCTGTCGTGTTAGCACATCTAAAGACTGTTTCTGGTCATTGAAAATAGATTCCTAATGATGGAGGAATCTTTGGACATCATTCAGCTCAACTTCCCTTGCAAGCATGAATGATGGGGAAAAGAATAATGATTTGCCCAAATTACTTTGTGGGTCACTCAGGTGGCAAAGCTGGGCTCTGTCCATCAGGGATCAGAGGTTTGCTGGAGGTTGGAGAGTTGACTTGGTCCTTTAATACTCACAGATCGTCTCTCTAAAAAGGTCCTGTTCCCCTTTTTTTTTTTTTGGACTCCGTGGAAGTCTAGAGGAGGCTCCAGGAATTGAACTTCATTCTATCTAAAGTTTGGAATTGTGGGGATCTGAGGTCTTTGACAGAAGGAAAGACCAGGCGGGAGAAGCTGTCCCACTTCCCTGTCCCTATTCACACATCAACTGGAAGTGGTCATGGGAATTTCAGTTCTGCTCCTTCCAGTCCTGGAATGAAAGAGAGAATGTTCCTAAAGGACAACTATTGGTATTTTCCACCCTTCATCCTGGGTCCATTGATCTTCCTTCTTAGTTTGACTTCTAGGGACCTGTTCCCATGACTCTACCCTAATAGAGCCATCACCTTTATTCTGTAATTGTTTAGGTGTTCACTACAAATTCTTTTCTACTCGGGTCAGCATTGACCTAGGTGTCTGCTCTGATGTATCTTTGGTCAGCCAGAATTCCATTCTGATTGTACTGGTGTTAACCCCAGTACAGCATGGTTCTAACTCCCCACCCAGAGTTCCGCTGTGGTTGTTTCTGTACTCACCTAGAATTCAGCCTTAATTCTCAGAACTGTTTGTTCAGAAATTTGCTAGGGGTGGAGCAACCCGCTCTATTTTTCCTTCTTCTTCTGTAATTGCAGTCTGTATGGATTCCTTACCATTTATTAATTAAAACAATCAGAGGGGACCTGGAATAGTAGGGGGCTGGGACTGGAGTTCACAGATTGGTCCAGCTCTCAGGCTTATGTGATGCGGGTCCATCTTCATCTTTCAGTGGTAGACTTTGGTTTTCCTGGAGACACACTGCTGTCATTTCCACTGGGGTCTGAAGAGTCTTGGAGGAGGTTCATGGTGTAGTTTAGGGCCAACAGGCAGAACTGAGGAGCTGCTGTATGCTGGGCTCAGAGGTGCATGTCATTAACACTCCTGGGGTTTCATGGATTGAAGGAGTATTTGGAAAGGCAAGGCCAAGGAAGTGAATCGAACTGTGTGCTTGCATGTTTGGATTGTTGAAACCCCAGGTTCATGGGCTAAGATGGGGCTTCAGGGAAGGATCTGAGGTGACCATGGAAGGAACTGCAGGAATTGGATGGCAAGGGAGGCAGTGGAGTCCTAGGGTGAATGGGGAAGGGATAGATGGCCAAGGCTTGGGGGTGTATTATCAGTGAGGGTCACGGGGTAACTGAGGCAGGGGTTCATGCTTTCTCGAGAAAAATACAGGGAATAAAGATATTGCCTCCTTGCCCAGCTCTGAGTGTCTGCCCACTTGGTGCTAAGTGTGGAGGGGCAGGCAACTAGGAAAGTTTTTGGGGAGTTACTCAGCCCCAGTGTCACCAATGGATGGGACTTGAGTGGGCCACTTCCCATCTTCTTTTTATAGTAGCAAAATTTGCATAGCATGAAATTCACCATTTTAACCATTTAAAGTATAACTTAGCATTTAGGACCTTTGGTGTTGTGTGACCACTTTTAATTCCAAGCAATTTTATCACCTCAAAAGGAAACCTCATGCCTATTAAGTACCCCCTCCCCTAAATCCCTGGCAACCACTAATCTACTTCCTGTCTCTATGGATTTGCCTATTCTGGACATTTCGCATAAATGGAATCACATAATAACTGTCCTTTCATGTTGGGCTTCTTTGATTTAACATAATATTTTCAAAGTTCATCCATTTTGTAGCATATATTTTCTTTCATTTTTTTGTGGCCAAATAATATTCCACCGTATGAATATGCCACAGTGTGTTCATGCATTTGGTGGACTTTTGTGTGGTTTCCACCTTTTGGATATTATGAATATTGAAGCTACAGACATTGTGTATATGTTTTTGTTTGAACACCTGTTTTCAATTCTTGCATACCTAGGTATAGACTGTACATCTTTTAAAAAGGTAATGCTTCTGGAATTGAACACTTGACAAAGCCACTGGTTGTGACAGCTGCAGGGAGGTCATCCCCTCCCCCCAGCTTGGGCTGGATGTGACACCAGCCTGACCCCTGGTGTTTGTATACTCTTTTCCACAGTGGCTGAGGCTCCTGGGTGACTGAGGGAGGAGCTGCTGGAGTTGGCTAGGGGGCCTGATTATCGAGGAGGACAACAGTGAGCCACAGGAACTTGTCTGCAGATCCGGAACTTCCTCACTGCTCTCTGGGGGTGGTGATGGAGGATGGTCCTCCTTGGACAAGGCCCTAGCAGATTCTCTGCCTTCACATTCCTGCTGCTATTTCCATGATCTGGGTCCTCCTCCCAGATATTGCAACAGCTGCTGTCTTAATCAGTCTGTCTACGGTCCATCAGAGAGATCCTCCTACAGCGCTACTTTCCTTGTACCCCTCCCCTTGGCCACAGTGGTTGTGGCTGCCATAATCAGATACTCAAGGCCTCCATTCTTTGGCTAGCTTTCAGTTATTTCCATTGCTCTGTCTGGGTTGCTTCCTTGGTTGCCATGACACTTGTAGATTAGGTGAGCTCATCCAGCTCTCTGCCTCCAGATGTAACAGACAGACCTGGGTGGGGGTCTTGGCTGGTGGCTTCCTCAGCCACCTGGAGACTTCAGAGAGGCAGGGCTGAGTCAGCACTTCCCACCTGCCCTATTGGTTTTCAGTTCAGCTTTACCTTTGAACTCTCTTTTGTTAATCATCATAATAATATTGGTAATAACCACCATATGTTGGGTGGTTACTGTGTGCCAAGTACTTATATGTAGATTTTTTCCATTAAACCCTCTTGATTTGTCACCATTTGTAGATGAGGAAGAGAGGCTCAGGGAGGTAAGTAACATCCCGGGTCACACAATCAGAAGCTAATGGAACTGGGATTCAAACCCAGAGTTCCCTGCCTTTAAAGTTCATTATCATGGCCACTATACTATCCTGTCCCTGGAGAATTCTACCTTGGGTGGGTTCTGATTTCCACTGTGGAAAGAGACTGGGCAGTGATCTCCTGGTTCTGGACTGAGGAGGAGGAGGGAAAGGGTTCTTGCTGCTGCCTCCCTTGGTTAGCCAGAGGACCAAGGGGCTGGTAAACCTGGAATTCCCAGTCCT